GCAAGAATAAGCAAGGCATACAAAAAGACAGTGAAGCAAACGACCTTACTAAAGTAGAGAGTATATACTACAGTTTTAATAGAAAGGGTAAAATTACAGAAAGTCTCAGAACTAAGTCGAAATTTATTGGGTTAGTGTGATGAACACAGAGATCATGCAACTTTTTGACCAGAAGAATGTCATCAGGATACTGATATTTAAGAAAAATCACTGGTATACCATAAGGGGTAGTTCACAGGATGAAGCAATGATGTGAAAGATCAATGAAGAGGCTACTGAATTAACCCAGGTGTGTTCAGATAAGTAATGGTAGAAGAAGAAAGGAAAAAAGAATGTTAGAAATACTATGAAAGAATAGTCACTAGCACCTTGGTGTTAGATATGGGGGAGAAGAGGCTGGAATCAAGGATACTGCCAGAAAAAAAATAATGGTAGTATTACTTAAGTATAGAGACAAATGCAGATTTGAGGCAAAAGATAAAGTGTTTGAGCTTAGACTTCAGGAAAAGCCTTGAGGAAACACCCAAGAGGAAATATTAGAAGGTAGAGATGCCGCTATAGAACTTTGAAGAGAAGTCTGGTGCATTTTAAGAGCTCAAATTATGTACATAAAAGAAGTTCCCTAAAAGGAAGGCAACAAGATATTCAGAAGGCTGGGTATCAGGCTTTTGGGTTTAGAGTAAACCTGCAAGGAGGTTGGGAGAGAAAGTATCTTAGATGTAGTAATAGAAGTAGGAAGAGAATTAAGATGATCAAAAGAGAAATTGAAGAAGGAGAGGACCTTAAGAAAGAGGACTACCAACAATGTCAAGTGTCACAGCAAGGTATGGAAAAAAACAAAAGGCTGAGAAATCATTCTATTGGATGTGGCCTAGAGGACATCCTTCAGTGGAGGAAGAAGAAAAAGAAAAAAAAACCTAATACTTTTCTTTCTTACCTCGTGCAAATAAACAGATTATAAATTTGTATTAGACATTATAGCAAAATGCAAAGATAGAACAGAGAAGATAAACACAAAAAAGGTTTTCTTTATGTATCTCTAACTTGTAATTTACAAATATAAAGTATAGTTTATTTGTCCTAACCCCTACACATATAGACAATTTGCTAAGACACCACCTTTTGTTTGTATTTCCAAAAGGTGGGGGAAAACTCCAAAATGTAATTCATCAAGGCCATTAATATATAAATTCTAATTGCTTCTTTCTGTACTTATATATAGCAATGATTTGATCCATAGTAGTTTTATATGCAACTATTTCAATGACACTTTACCTCAGGCTGACAATTTTTTTTATCCCCTTGATTACGGTTTTTGATATATTTTGGAGGTTTAGCAAATTCCTTTTGGGAGTTAGAGTTTTCTTTTAAACTAACAAGTTCCTCTTTGACTGGTGAGATTTGACTTTCTGGCACTAGAATCTGTTGGAAAATGTGAAAAAAAGTAATTTAAAACTGCAAAAAATAGATATGGGTAACTGAGAATATTACTTCCTTATTGCTTTTCAAGAAGTCATTTATATGAAACAATATTTGCATGAGTTTGTGCTAATTAAAATTATTGCCTTAAACCAAAGGATTCTTGTCTAATGGGTGTCATTGATG